ATTTTCATTGCTAGAGATTTTTTGATTTTCGCGGTTCATTGAAAGTGCCCTCAATCAAAAGTGCCTCAACCATTTGCACTTTGACACTAAAATTTTCAACGGACCAGGATCGCAACGGTCAATTCAAAATCATTGCGCTGTATCTCTGTGCCATAGTTGCACCTAGAGGAGTACTTGCTCGTTGTGTTGATATTCCATTCAGTTGATCTTCTGTGCGCACACAAAGTGGACCATCAGTTTCTCCAGTTTGTCCTTCACTGCATGTCTCACCAAAGATTAGGATGGCTTATATCCTAACCTAAGCAGTCTCCATTTCCTACGCATTCTATTTTTTGAGTTAGTGCGAGGTTGGCAATCTTTATCTTCTCCGTTAAGTGCTGACGTTTTGACGAAATCGCTTTCTTGAGAGCCTAGACCTAATCAACAGTACCATATAACCTATTTAGCTAACACTTGCTGAACCTAGCGAAAATCTTTTTTAAAGATCGTTACAAACGTCTACCAAATAAGGAAAATCCATCTTTCAGCTCCTTGTAGGGAAAAGATTACCGGTTTGCTGTCACACATTATGAGCAATGAACTTTAGTTAGATTAGAATCAGATCTGTGATAAGGCACATTATTATGTAACCATACTGTCCTACTGTCGTCATGTTCTTCAAAACATCCTTCTTGAAACCCGCTTATCAACGAAAGAGATCGTATATAATTTCCAACTTGGACAAAAAGAACGCGTGCTGAGACCTTAACGACATCATCGACTATGGCGAAGGCGATATCGAGCACGAGAGCAACGGCCGCTATGATAGACATGGCAATGGCGAATGCAACAAATTTTTATTCTTTGTTCACCGGTCTTTTATATCACAATCTCTGTCAACGTTTTGTATACCAGGATCTCCAGCTAAAGCTAGACGCCTGATTCTCCATCGCCTCACTGTCTCTCTTTAGATTCTCATCTAAGAGCTACGCTTGTTAACCAGCGCTCAAGATGAAACGAATTCCGATGAAGCACTATGATAACAAAAGTGTTAAATCTTGCAGTGACAGCGATATTCACAATGCGAAACGGTTTGGAACAATCGATGAGCAATGGTTAATTATAACACAAAATCGTAAATTTGGATTTGACCCATTTTTCATGTTTCGTTGGACTAAAAGTCATAAAAAATTGTGACACAGCTAGCCTCGAAACAATCACATCCTCCCATGATTTTGCACAGAAGCTTTTAACGATAGTCAAGTAGTCATCATTGAAGTTTTGGATGATCATCGATGTCAGCTGAAGACGCTCTCGACTTAAATCAAATGTAGTTCCTATGTTAATGATTTGAGAAGCAAAGAGCAACTGAATGGTGAACATCCTGTAACAAAACTAAGTTGATTGCTGATTAAATTCTTTGTTTCGGTTTTGGCAGAACATGAGTCCTCATAATATTGCTGGCTTCCAAGGAAAAGACAATTCGCCCGCAGAAGGCAGGCAAACGGTTGTAGAACAAACATGAAGTGCCTCTCAATGCTTGAAATACCCATAAAAGCCAAATTATTTAGGTGTACAAACATGACTCAGCCAATTCTCTGTTTTTTGTTGTAATAACAGTAAACACGAAGATAGCAAATAATTTTTTCTTCAAAGTGCGTTAGACACGCCATTTAAATGTAAATTTTTATATATAAGATAAGTTACATAATGGTCTTTGTAGACCTTTAGAGATGACGACTGCTTTGAGATGGAGCTGTCGTGGGAACAAATTTGCTTGCTTTTGAAGCAAGAATGGCCGTTAGGGGAAAATGCTAGTGAGGCGGCGTACAAGATTGTGTAGTTTGGAGCGAGCTCCATCTCAAAGCAAGTATAAGCAAGTCATACACCAAAATATTCTAACGAAATTCGCAACTGAATCATATCAAGTTCATGGAATTTTATTGCAAAAATCATATTAAAACCAAAACGTCACGAACATTGCAATTATGCTATATGATAACGCTTCACTTCATGTTACAAAGCTGATCGAAAACGTTATAAAAAAGCTGGAATGGGACGTTTTAGGAGGTTTCACTTTATTCGCCTTACCCTTACAACATTAACTATCAGATCACCTCTTAAAATTACCAGATTCAGACTCAAAACAGTGGCATATTTCGAGTACAAAAATCTTCATCTTCAGAGTCTGTGAAAACAATCATATATTACGTAAGTAGAGTATTTTATATATGAAAACATAGAGAATTAACGTTTCTAGCGTATTTCCAAAAAAAAAAGAGTTTGCATATTTTTATTCTTACTCCTATTATATTAAGAAAGAAAAAACGACTGAGTCATGTTTGTACACCTAATAGAAACACCTATTATCTCACTATTATTGTCACTATACAAGGCCATAGTATAGCTCACAACGATTAGTTAGTGGAAAATGATAGTGTTTTACCGCAACTGTGAAGCAGAGGTTTTTCTTAGAAATCTATGTTAAGGTGTTTAAGGAATAGATGGGATTCGGCGAAAAGTTCATTGAGTTAGGTCGATAATGTAGGATTTGCCGCACAGTCCGTTCGACTTCTACGGTCTCGGCTCTGCAACACATAGAAAAGTGCTGTCAGGGAACAGCACTGGACTCGTTCTGCTGCACAACGTTCGACATATTTGCCGCAGTAATCTCTGCTCTCAGCTATGGTGGCTTTGAGAGGATTTAGAACGCTGGAGTTGACTGGTTTTGCTCGCCACCATCAAGCGATCATCATAATTGTCCTTGGGTGCAAATTGGCTGTGAGAGTAACTCAGGAGCTTCGTCATCATCCGGTTTCTATGATCAGCAGTGTACAAAGCGCACAGTAGATCCTGGTAATTTCTCTACATTTGCCGCATTTCGTGTCATAATAGTTACTTAATGAGCTCCCTATCTTTCCAGTGTCTTCTAATGAAAAGCAGGCATCAGGAGCTTACGTTAATTTGTTTTGCGACGTCTTCAAAGACATATTTAGTCGGCTATCACGGTCAGATTACTTTTCAATGTGATGTTGGCGCTTGTGAACTGCGAAAGCTCACGTGGCCGCTCTTTGGAAGCTAATCCGCGCATAGGAGTTTTCCAAACTCCCAACAAATTTTTCGTATCGAGTGTTTTCTTGATACCACGCTCCAATTCCAATATGCCTGATAATCATTTTTGAGCCACGCATCTGGTCTGTTATATAAGGGCAAGCTTATAAAGCCTGATACACGTGTTTCGACCTTGCAGTCTCACCAGTCGAACGGTGCTCTTTCGTCTTGAGAAAGCCCTCTCAAGGCGCTTAGTCCCTTATACTAAGAGTAGCAACTAGCAAGAGTCAAAAGAACACCATAACTGATAAAACCACGTGTTTTTTTTCTCTTAACTCGCTTATATCTCGCTCGACAAAACTCCTTCATAAAAGTGCTAGTGCTCAAACTATAGCGCAAGCTCCAAAGAACTCAAAAATGTGTTTGCTTATTACAAAACTCTTTTGAACTCTTGATTTCTAGCTTTTTTATTTGTGTTTTAAACCTCGCCGGACAGAGCTATTTGTTCAGACTATCAGTAATCATCTGATAGCGTAATGCTCTCTGATTCTAGTGATGTGCCTATTTTGTGGAAATGCGGTATAGCAGAGAAAATAAGATCGAGTTCTAAATTTTTCTTAACGTTGTTTACACACCATTCGACAGGTAGCAGGAGGCGTGGGAAACTGAGGCGAAGCGGAACGATCAAGATTTTGTTAGTCAATTAGGAATTTTTTCACCGCTTTGCAAGAAACTCGAGATGGGGGATTGTCTAAGATACCACGAAAATTTCTCCACACATTGATATGCTTTTCGGCTTCCGGCAAGTCATACTCGTGATAAAAAAGAAGGCGAAAGGCGAGTGTGAAGCATAATTTCTGATTGGATACTACAACTTTATGAAGGAGTGTTTAAAAACCGGGACATGGGGCCGTGGCCCCATGTCTCACCTTTTGGATGACCACCAACATCCTATGAAAGTTCCTCTCCAGTCAATGTGGTCGCTTTTTCATTTGTTCTCTCCTAAGCACAAAGAACACGTTGAGTATTCAGCTCTATGATTCGTTCATTACCACGTGTTTCTCTTTGTTATAGTTAAGACTGAACCTTCCTCGAGGTCGGAGACCAGCACAACAACCACTTGTAGAGCGAATTCTTGTCCTGGACGTGAGGGGATTGAATCAGAAAAGCGTGGTATCCTCGATATTATTAGATTTATTCAGGTTACTCGTTTTTTGTGTTTGGGAGAAACTGCGCTTATGTGGTGTCGCTGATGGTATCAGCGAAGAAATGCTCTTGAATCGGCAGCTCATGAAACGGATATGGCACAGGCGACGGATTCAGAGGAGCTGATACTGTTTATAAAGCGATTTCTGGTACTAAACTTGTAGGCGTTGGATTCAGTGAGGTTAGCAGCATACCACTGGAGTTACGTGAATTAATCCCTTCGGTGATAAGAACGGCACCAGCTCTTGTGGTGTTGCTGTGGGATGCCATGAGGAAAGTGGTGTTGAATTAACAGTTTTCAAACATTTTTGAATCTAACCACTGAGAAATCGACGGTGCGGCTCAAGAAACGATTTTCCGTTGAAAAGAATTGGTGTCAAGCTTGTCTGGGAGAAAAGCAGCACCAGCTTTATACATTAGTGGGCTGCCGTAGCTCATTGTAAATGCCCGATAAGCATTCATCAACCTTGAAAGGTGCTTAATGAAGTCGAATATATGACACAACGCATCCTTTTAGGACCGATCAACGCCAATGGGTTTTTTGTATTTCATATCCTCTTATTTTGCTACTTACAAAAAAGTAAATGCTGGTAGGAAGAACGGGATGCCTTAGAAACTAGGAAACTCTAGGCTCACAGCTCAAACGAATTATCCAACCGTAAACAAAATCCTGCATCTATTAGAGCTTATTTTATTTGACCGCATTTAGCGGTATTAAAGTATTATGATATACACAGTGATAAAGAGTGATGTGCAAAAACATCTGCGCCAGCTGGGATTTGAACACAGAGTTCACCCTATCCAGGGCGCGTGCTGAAGCGTTGCACTACCGACGCTCGTTTTGACATCATTCTTTCCACTGTTCCTGCTTCTGCTTTTGAAACCCTTGATCCAATGCGTTGTGGTATGGACCATGATCGCAGACAATTTGCTTGCAAGCATATCCGCTATCCTCATCTTGTATCAGCCCATTAGGTAAAACGCGTTTGTGCTTTCTTCTTAAGTTCTAGTAATCATTCGGCAGCTTAAACCTCGAGGATTTCAAAAGTGTATTTTATTTCTTAAATGACCTTCCTCCTGCGCTGTGACACTAAAGATAAAGTTATGTTTCACCCCGGGAGCATTTTTCGCTGGATAGAGCCTTGATCGTGAATTTTCAGTAATCATTTGGTAGTTCATAAGTCGGCGATTTCAAAAATATAATCGGTTCAAAAAAGTATCGCGCTGTCGCAGCCAAAGGAACTCGGGTTTTGCACTAGGAGCTGAATTTTTGTCGGGTAGTCGCGCAGCATGATTCACATTATCATACAATTTTTGTTATTAGATTTGAGTGTTTTTCTCCGCCTTGAAGAAACTCAGTTTGAATGCACATTATTCGTGTGTAGGTCCAGACTACATAGGCTTAAACTTATCGCGCTTATTTCACAACATAGAGTATAAATGCAAAAGCCTAAGCCCAAAGAACGATAGAGCAAAGTTTCTGCAAATTCAGTTTTGAAATCATTGTATTTGCGCTTCAAGTAAGCGTTATGTTGCTAAAGCACGGTGGGTTTAGTGCAAATATTGCGAAATCCCATCCACATACTGGAACAAAAAATGTGCGCCGAGTACGAAACCTTATAGTTTTTTGACTCCTGCGGCGCATTTGAAGGTCTTTTGAAAAGTGAAGCACACCACAGAAATCGCTGAGATCTTTGCTATCGAATAAGTGCTGAAAATCTTGGAAAAAAGCTCTGCTCAGCGGAAAATGATTGATTGCGAAACACGGTTTTTTTATAGAATGGAATGGCACAGCAAAGTAGGGTGGCCATTTTGAGAGTAAGGAATAAATTTGAAGTTCACAAGATTCGAGCTATAAAATGACAATCAAATCTTAGAAAAAAGCAAAAAGACGTTTCTGCTGAGGGGATGAATCAAAGTGAGGCTAACGGATACCCAAGGCTACTATCGGTAGTCGAGAGATCTACATACGTCAGCTGTTCTGTTGAAAGGAGAAGAGGGACCATGTTTTTTAAAAGCAAGGTAATATATATCTTGATCCTTTCCTGAGGTCTTTTATGGTATTTATGTAATGCTGGACACTGTTTCGGCTTTATAGCCTTATCAGTAAGCTAACAAGCATTTATATAAGTATCAATAATATGTACGAAGTAATCTCGAAGTCGCAGTGAGTTTAGACAACAACCGCGGAACAATTTATATTTCCACGTGCTGACGTTTCGTTTGGTTTCTAATCTTTTCTGAATCTTGAAGGAGTAATGTTGGCCTACAGCGTATTCAAATATGTACATATTAAACGCCGCATATGCTGCCTCATACCGCATGATAATGTTAGTAGAGATCGATAAGGTATGCCAGTGGAGAACTGCTTAGTTAAAACTTTTTCCTACAGAGATTGCAGGCGTTCTTTTGGTGAAGCATGCATGTGTCTGTGTGTGTGTGTGTGTGTGTGTGTGTGTGTGTGTGTGTGTGTGTGTGTGTGTGTGTGTGTGTGTGTGTGTGTGTGTGTATGTGTGTGTGTGTATGTGTGTGTGTGTGTGTGTGTGTGTGTGTGTGTGTGTGTGTGTGTGTGTATGTGCTGTCTGTGTGCGTTCGTGTGTATCTGACTGTCTGTCTGTATGTGTTTCCTGTCATGTTATCGACTAGTCCATTCTCTCACTCTTTAAGGATTAGCCAATCACAGCACCACATTAGGACAAGTATAAAATCTTGTATTAAGTAAAGAAATTTGACGCGACAAACCCAACTGGAGATCATTAAATCATTCTTCGGCTTCCAAAGTGGGTAGAGAACTTTGAAACTATTAAAGGCTTCTAACAAAAGGCATTGAAAAGCTACCGGGCACATTTATGTGTGTACGGTCATTGAAGGACCAAGTCACTGGAAAATCTATTGTCCGATGCAAAAAGAAAAGGTTAGCATGCCTGTAATAGTCGCAATTGGACGTGATCGTCAAAAGGCGTTGTAACGTTTTTGTTACTTTTTACAAGTAAAAGAGCACAAAATTGATGCTTTTCCCTTGTTGAATCGGAGATAATTTTTCGGAGTCATTTGTTGCCGCGTGCCGTCTATGGAACTCGTTTGGATCTAATCAACTACCTTGCTTGCAGGACAACTACTTTGTAAAACTGTTAACTGAACCAGGTTGATTGTTCATCAACTCAATTGGATCTGTCATTGTGCGCGATTTCAAAGCACGTTTTTAATCCTGATTAAAGTCTAAATTTTTCAGCCACAATCATACATTTCTTCATTCGCAAATTCTTCATTTGTGACATTCAGCGAATCTATGTTGAGATGAATTTTAAACCGATTTTGACCAAATCAGGGATTGGAAAAGAAGCTAAAAATGTGATCTTGGCTATGGTGTATTTCATTCCTAGTGTTTTAGAACTATATGTGCTTCTTCTTAATCCATTGAAGATGTCTTGATTTTGAATACTCAATGTTGAATGAGGCGATGTAGTGTAGTAGTTAGAGGTGACCTAAATATAAACGTAAACTCTGGTTCGACCCCGCCCACCGGAATCACCAGAGTTTCCGCTCTGGTGTCGGCATATTGATGCTACACTTGTCTGGGATAATAGCAGCACCGACTTGAAGATGAAGTCGAATATATGGGGTTTTCCTTAAGGACTGATAATTACCGAGAGCCTTGTCCTTGGTTCTCTATCATCTTACAATGTCTCCTATAAACCGAGCATGAGTCACATAGCATTTTTCTATGCGCCCCGGAATCAACTCCACACTTTGAGGTCGTTGTCGATGTTTGGTTCTTTTCTCTACATCTTAATAATGTTTTTCGGTCAGGTATTTCGTTTTAGTTGGTTTGGTCTAGCACAGCTGTCCATAAGATTGTCAAGTATGCGGAATCTGAGAACTAGTGGGAGACGGTATCTGCGTATTTGGATCCAGCACCGCCAGGTGAGAATCTCCAGTTCCTGGAGCCATATGAAATGGGCATTAGCTAATTCGGCTAGGATTTGCACTGCTAAATATCGGAAATAAACCACAGAGCATCCGAAATTGGTGGCTAAAACAGTTCTTAAGTCTTCACAACATCGTCTCAGTAAATACACGTGGGAATTCGTCTGTCAGTTTTCTAGATATGTAAAGATAAAAAGCGGCAGAAAAATCTTGTCCTTTGTCTATAACTCTCTTCGTAGCTTTCGAAACACAATGATTGTTTCTCAGATATAAGTTTTGGGTCTAGATTGTAGTCAGACATTTCTTCTGTCTTTTCTTGGAATCACCTGTCAACAAATTCCTCGGAAAGTGAAATTCAGAACGATTGCATACACGTGAATATATCTTGGTAATTAACACGTCTTCTAGGGGAGTAACTGGTTCTAGACTGAGTGTAATAATAGGATCTAGCATGGGGAAATATTATTTCTTACCTAATACTCACAACGCGAAAACACTTTTCTTCGACACTGAACTTCGATCCGTTTTAGAGAAAGCAGATCATACCTAGGTTGAGAAAACAGTTCACGAGAATTTTTGAAAGTTTCATCTTTATGCAGAAATCATCAACAAAGACGACAGTAACTATTCTTCACAGTGTAGATCACCACGACTTCTTTCATCGTTTTGTAAGATTTCGGATCTGCTCGAGGTACCATTTGCGCCCCTTTGGATCGAGAAACTTTTAACAGGCTTCTTCAACTTCATTCAATAATGCATATTGATGGCCGTTCAAAAATTCCTTCATTAGTCGAAAGAGGCTGGCCACAGTTAGATAAAACTCATGCGGATCTCGACGAAGCTTCTTGTGGACAAAGTCAAATTGGTGCAACTCGTAAACAACGGTCCGCTGTAAAACACTCTTCACCTAGGTCACAGTTTTCGATGAAAGCTCGGCATTCAAAGCGGCTTGTCACTCACTTCCATCTAAAACAAATCGGCCAGAACGAGGCATGAGGCATGTCTTCAAGATGAAAACTGTTTTTTTCGGCCTCTTAAATCATTTGCCCACAGTCAACTTTGTCGCCGTTTATCCACCTTCACCGTCTTTAATCTCATCGACGGCTTTCAACATCGTCAAACCTTTTCTCCAATAATAGCGGATAAATATACGGAAGTCATGCTGTTCAATAGGCATTCGAGAGCTGAAATTAATGAACTAAATGAATATATACAACACTATTGACAAAAAACAGCACAGAGATGTCAAAATGTAAAGTTTCAAAAAATTTCTCAGTACTTCTTGCTCAACCTAATATCAGAATTCAAACAGTCACCATTCATCTTAATATCAAAAGACTGACATGGCCAATTAGACTACAGGCCGCTGTTATGAGTGGAGCAAAATTTCGTACTGGAATGGCAACTGTGAACTTCATCGTGTCTCCGTTCGTGGCTTATTTCGATGGATTTGTGTGAAACTATGTTGTCCCCGCTTTCCCGTTCTCCATCCTCCGACTTTTGAAAGCATCCGTTGATAGTTATTACGAAATATTCTATTTTTTTATCATTTTATTTCATTCGTCTCATAGTTTTTTCCCACGGTGCGGAAATCTGAAAAATAGAACAAAATGAGAGTGCAAACCGCCTCTGTGACAACGAACCTTTGAATTAGATATTTTTTCGGAAGCAAAAACTTGCTGTTAGATATGGACACTGATCGATACCTCTCAATCAAAATGTGGGACCGTAGTAATTTCGGGACCGACTTCATATTAACCACCGCATAGATCAATAATTCGCTATTTTTCTATAAGCACGCTCTGTTCTGCTAATCAACTGACTATTCTTCAAGCGTACCTGAAGTATCGACCGCGTCACCTCCTGTAAAGGTTGGAAAAGTAAGGTTGACGGGCAATCCGCTCAGTCA